GCAGCAAGTAAGAAGCACTGAGCCCCTGAACGGCAATCCAAACATGCCTCGGTCGATATACAGGGAGTTAGATGTCTATGCGTATATAGTGAAAACAGATCTTAGATTGGAAATAATTTTCTATTTCCTAATACGCATGAACCCATCGATCGTTGTATTGCAGTGATAAAATTGCCGTCCCACTTTGTTTCTCACTTGTGCAGGCTTTCGGGATAGCGTTGTCACCCTGAGAATCTTGGCGCTACTCCATTTTCTCACATCGATCACCATAAGCCTGTGACGTTGAGATGATCCTCATGAGTGAGCCCAAACTTCGAGCTCATGCTGCCTGAGTTACAGTGCAATGTGCCACTTGTGAATACATTCATTCGTCCAATGAAATATACAAATTGCAAGGTTTCTTAAATGTAAGACTTTGGAGACTATTGCTTGGGAACACGAGCCTCCGAATTTCGGCCCCTAAATCTAGGAGTATCCGTGTATCGGATAATAATGTCGGATTCCAGGAATCGGGTCTGAAAGCCGCGGTGGGCGAACTCCAATTCCGACAGCTGCATTCGTCTACCCGGTATGTATGCAGCTCCCCGATTGGATCGAGACCGAGTGTCAGCCCAATTCCAACCATCCGTATCACGACCTTTCCCGGCACATTCAACCTTTTGGAAGTAGGACAATGGCATCATCCATCTTCAAACAGGCATTGCCTTCGGCGGTTCGAGAAATCAGGTCGGTGATGATTTTTTTGGTTTGATATTTCTTTGATTCTTGTTCTGGTTTCTATGCCCCCCCTGACATTTTGCTTTTTTTTCTGGCATTCTTGTCTTAGATTACATTTTTCACCAACTCAAGCCAACCCAGTCAAATCCTTTATTCAATCTAACTATTCCTCAATCAAATCATCGAATCCTGATCTGCCCTTCTTGTTTCGCGAATCGTCCATTGGTACACCAGCCCGGGCTATTGTCAGATTTGGTAGGTACCTCCTTTCAAGTCTTGTCCCATATTTCCCCTTAATATTCGTGTATGTTTATTGAACCTATTTCACTTTTGTTCTACTGAAAAATCCATTTCGACCGAATCTCCCGAATGCGCCGTTTTCTTTTCCCCTCGCCTTGGGTTTTGATTCGGCCGACTTCAGAATACGGGATAGAAAAACAAGTCTCTCTGGAACAAGCGAAGTCCTCGACGGAAATCGAATCATTGCTATCCAACTTGATCCAAAGCAAAAACTGAGAATGTAGTTTCCCTGCTTAGGGTGATGACCCCAACAACATTTTCGGCTCCGTTTCACCATCAAACACCCCAATGATTCATTGTCTATCTTCCCATGATATCGCCTTCTTACCAGGGGGAAATGTCGAGCGTCTCCAGAGAATGATGTAAATTAATGAAAAACAAGTAGATTAGGAGATAACTACGGTCAAGAATGGTATGATACACCACTCATCATTCTGTATCAGCATAACCTGGAAATCGGTTTTTGATCAATGAATCCAAATATTGCGTGTGGTCTGTAACATAAAGACTGCTACTGGAGGAGCCACAGCTTGCTTCAAAAATAGTCAATAACCAGTGCCATCTCAGTAGCCACTTAAATCCATCTCTGGGGTCTTGAAAGTGTAACTTGTTATAAAGTATTCACAGGCCTATGATGACCAGGTGAAGATGCACATTACAATTCTTGATACGTGTGAGTGGGTACAAGTAAAATGAAAAGGTTAGGGTAGGGGAGAATGTATCCTTACCAATCAACAGTGTCAGCCTTTGTGATATCAAGAGCTTAAACTCTTCCCATTGCACAAGGTCCCTGGTATTTTAAGGAATAATACTTGTGAGGATGCTTCACTTGAGATCAGTGAGCTTTTAGAGGTAAGAAGCACAAAGAACAGCCAAGGGAAGATGCCTCACTGGAATGGATCAATTTGCAAAGAAATTTAGCTTGATGATTGAGTTATAGGTACACTGATGATAATTTATGTTGTGATTTAGAATATTGTGTTCAAAGGGAATTTGTCCCCCCCCCATTATTTCTTTTTATAGCAATATTATTTAACTATTATTCATCATTATAAGAACACGGTATCTTATTTAATATCTGGTTGAAGTGAAACTTCACCAGTGTTGCATAGAAGTTGAATTCAACTACATGTATATCTTGTAAGCATCAGGAAAGCTATCCTCTTTGGTAGGTTTCAACTTTCACATTCATTGGCAGACTGGAAGAAAAACATAGGTTCTTGCATCAATGCTGCAATATCAATTTGAATGAAAAAAAAGAAAATAGATTCATGCAAACTGTTAGATTGAAGAATTATCAGGCACAGAAAAAAAAATCCTCCAACAAGGAATAAAGCAATAAAAGGTCAATTTCTTCTTTTTGAAAAAGAAGTGTCTGCATTATGAGGTAAGAGATAGAATTATTGATAGAATAAATCAAAAGATAAACTATTATCAAGAGTATGATAGGAGATTACTTAATCAATCACTTCTTGCTTCATTTTAAATTTAAAATGGTACTTGAGATTATATAAATCCGCAAATGATGTTTTCTTCTGCTCTTGGTTGCATTTACATTGGTTTCAGGATCTTAACCTATGGTCATATGCTTGGAAGAAGCATCTCAACCAAACCAAATTTCTCTTTTTTCACACAAAAGCTTCAAAGATATATGGATTTCTCCCTAGAATGGTTTTGATTCACCATGGATTGAAAAGATGAAGAATTGAAAGATGTAACTACTGGAGAAAATCAATCTTGAATGTAATCCAGCAATGATTGCTTGCCTGCCAAAGTGGTCCTACTAGTTTTTTTTTTTCTAAAAAAAACAAAGTTAATTTTTGAAATTCTGAAAGGTAGTGAAGAAAATGTGTTGCCAAATCCAGGTATGAGAATGATTTCCAAGCAGCAGAGAGAAATGCTAGAAGTGATCCTTGGTGTTAATTCCAATTGGGTAATAATTCACGTTAGGAATCCATTCAAAAAACCAAGTGAGCCAAGGGTTAGACTCTTGGATAAATTGAATGAAGGAATCCTTTTCATCGTCTTTGATCTCACAGTTTTTTTGGGGTCTCCTTGGATACTACTGAAAGAATTATTACGAATGGGATTGGATTTGGTGGGACTCTGGACTTGGACCCAAGGCATGGTTGTGATTTTCGATGAAATACTAATGGCAAGATCAAGTGTTTACAGGCCCTCCAATCGGAATTAAATTACATGTTAATTCTACATTGAATGTTCATACAAAGGGGTTCGACCATAGTTTGAAAACACCGTAATCTCCATCCAATTAGCTTGATGATTGTGACCGGATTCCGAGTAGCAAAGGGATTCTGCAGAAAGGGCATTCCAGGCGCTCTTCCAACCATTTCTATGTACAGTGGGTGGACCGTTATTTTTGGCTGCCTGTTTTGGACCCCAGAGCTCCGAAAAACAGACTTGAAGTTATGAGACTTGTTCAGGTGGTGCATAATAGGTCCCAGAAAATGAATATGAAAAGATAAAAACAAAAAGTAAAGTTTCAAAATTTGTGAAAAATAAAAAATAAAACTCATTTTTTTCAAAAGCTTTGATATTCATTTTGGGGGAGTGGGAGTGCTGAGAGAAAGAAAGAGGGGAACATGGGAAGAATGATTATAAATGAAAAAAATTGGAACCAAAAAAGGTTTGGCCAGGTTGGTTGTCCAGATTGCAGCCAAAACAGTAAATACTAGTGCTTTACTGCAATGTGGGCCGGTGAATGCCTCACTCAACAGCTGTTTGAAGCCATCTGGAAACCAATTTTTCCAAAATTTTCATTTATAATCATTCTTCTCATTTCCCAATCTTTCTTTCTCTCAGTACTCCCACTCCCCAAAAATGAATATCAAAGCTTTTGAGAAAAACAAATTTTATTTTTTATTTTTCACAAATTTTCAAACTTTAGTTTTTGTTTTTATTTTTTCATATTCATTTTTTGGAACCTATTCTGCACCAATTGACCAAGCCCCATGACTTCAATCTGGTGCTTTCAAGCTCTGGGATCCAAAACAAGCAGCCAAAAATAATGGTCCACCCACTGTACATCGGCAGTTAAGTGAAATCAGTTGATAATCTAGGAAACAAGGCTGAATGAGAAATTGCTTACTTGGAGGCAACTGCGATGAAAGAGATGAGAGGGATGGCACGGTAGTTAAACTGTGATGCGCTTGCTTCGGGCGAAGTTTTCCAGACAAATCGAGCATTCCGAGACTTCGCGGTGTTGGCGCCCGGTAGTGCCGACGACACAGTCGCCGGGACTCGATACGAAATCGCCACCATTCGCGTTCTTCAGACTGTCCACTAGTTCCCGAGCCCTGCGGCTTTTGAAGGACCTCGCACGGGTGTCTTCCAAAGTCGTGATCAGGGTCGCCCATGTCAACAGCAACCCCCAAATCAACCAAACATTCGATTCCGCCATCCCCAGTATTGCCCGATCCACTTCGTCTAGATGGCCAAAATAGTACGCGTTCTCTTCATCTCCGAAGCGGTCTCGGTGCGGATTATTTGCCAGTTCAAGATAAGCCTCGCGCATCTTCTCCAGATAATCTTCGATGATTTTTTCGTCTTGAGGCGGGAGTTTATAGAGAGCTGCTTGGATCGGCTCCAGCTCAGGAACACGGTCCGTCATCTTCCCGGGTCCGCTAACTTTTCCCCTGTCCATCGGAATCACAAAATAAGGGCTATCTGAGTCGTTGAAGCTCTGGAGGATGTCTCGTAAATGCCGAGTCGACTCTTCATCGGTGTCCTCCGCCGTCAGCTCGCCATCCTGATTAGGGTCCTCTTCTGTGGGTCCGCCGTCAATTGCGGGGTCTGCTTCAGTTTGTTTGTCAGTGTGGATTTGTGCTTCATCAAGTGCGGTCACAGTCTCTTCATCCAACTGGCGGTCGCGGTCGGGTTGGATGTGTAAAGAAGAACAGTATGTGGGGGTTCCTGGGGGAGCGTAGAGGCCACTCGAAATTTCCGAAGCACAATTCGACTCATCGGAATCATGCATGTGGTCCATAATTTATGTTGGTTGGTCTCAGTAACTCGAAGTAAGGGTGTGAGGAGAGGAGAGAGTCGATGTGATAGGTGAAGCGCTTGCAAGATCCCCAGGTTGTGAGAAAGATCGGTACAGCACCACTAGGACTGTCTTAAATACCCTCCACAATGGCTCAGTCTGAGGAGGCTGCACTGAGAGCCGGCCTGGTGGGTTCCGTACTCAGTGTTTAATTAATCGCCGACACCTGTGGAGGAGGCTCAGGCTACCACTCAGTCTGATATATCGGGCCTGTTTGGAAGCAAGGAACCGTAGACACGTACGTGAAGTTGAACGCGTCTGCGGCACCACTTGCGGTTGCCTTCATAACGGCTGATGGTCAAGACTGAGGAAGACACACGGGCAGCCGGCTTTGCGTGTATTGTAGTCGCCGACACCTGCTCTGTCTGACAGAAGCTGCATGTGGGCTTGGTTTGGAAGCAAGGAACCATAGACACTGTACGTGAACGCTAGTTGCTTTACCACAACCGGTCCCTAGAGGAGCATTTATAAAATGATGGAGGTAGGGCCCAGAAAGCAAGATATTGGCACGACCAGCATGGCGCGAAGTGAGCCTCCTGTCCTCCTTCCAAAGGCTCCCTGGGCCCCTGAAACGAGGGGATTGTGGCCCGATCCCACCGGCACCTGGGGTAAAAGGCTTAGTACATGCGTCACAGGCGAGGAATCTTGTCATAAGCTATAACAAACTGCTTCAATGGGGATTGTTCAGTCTGGCACTGGCGGGGCTTGGTTGTTGCTGCTCAGCTGGGGTGTATCGATCGGGTTCGCTTGAGAAAAGATGGATTATTATTACCCAGATGATAGACCCTAATTTCAAGTCCAAGCTGGTCGATCTGGAATATAGGTATACAAACCTCATGAGTTACATCATGAATCTGAGGACCTTCATTAGTGTGCACCAAGCTATGTAGACCCGTGGGGGCTCTCGTCTTATGCATTAAAAACTGAAACCTGGAACCAGAGTGCATCGAAAAACACGCTAACGATCGCCCTTAATATGCAAGAGTCAGTCTACATAGCTTCTGCTTCATTCACATCATACAAGTCCTAATTTGTTTGAAACATTCAAATATATATATATATATATATATATAATATTCTAAGCATAAAGTTTGATAGACTGTGATAAGTGTTTTATTTATAAGTGATGTATCGAGAGTTGGAGAACGGATCGAAATATTCGAGTTAAGATATTTCGATTATCTCGATTGAGCTAGACTCTTTTGGCTGGTCAAGCTTAAGTTTCTTGGCAGGTGGTGGTTTTGAGGAATCATCGAGCTGATCGACCAATACGATCTCATCATCATCCTTGGATCCGTCCGCTTTGTTCGAAGTAGTCCGACTTCTTTTGGTCCCGTTGGAGCCGTTCGGAGCGGTCACTTGCTCGATGTCTGAGTCTTCTTTCAGATCAGGTATCGGATCTACTTTCGGCTCAGGAGCTGGTCGATGGGGTATGTTGTCCGGGAGGCCTTGGACCGAGACTACCTTATCTAGTGGCGGTGCACTTTTAGTTGTGGCAATGGAGATGCATTAAAACGGACATGTTTAGCACGTAAAATCGGGCAGTAAGAGCTTCTACCTTTGATATTTGCTCAAACACGTACTTTTTAGAAATGATGAACATCAGAGGAACATATTTCTCTGCTTCATCAGTGATCCTCAAAACTCGTTCAGCTGGTCCATCTATCAAATCCAACTCCCTGAAAGTTTTAATATCGTTGTCCGTAAAGTCGGGGTCGTACAGCAATCGGTCGCCTTCTTGAATGGTAATTGATTCGTCGTCTCCCTCTTCAAAGAGCCTACCCTGGAGCACTTCCACTATGAACTTCTTTAGTGAACAGTCTGGGTGGACATTGACGGTAGGGTAAAGCACTTGGCAAACTTGGCAATGAGGGTTGGGTGGGTCGATGCTGCCGGCTACAATGATCCGGTCCGCTGTCTTGCCATACCAGGGCCGACAGGCAGCAATCCTTGGTAGAGGTCCGCAATTATCTTCTTTAGTTGGTTCGGCACCATTTTGGGATGGGGTTTCCGTGCCCTTTGGTCGACAGAGGATGTTGATGGCTTGAAAAACAATCAGGGCCGACACGGCTGAGTTTGTTGTCGCAATAGCAGGAATCTAAACAGGATTAAACAAATAAATCAACAGATCAGAATGTAGAACTTAACCTCCCTATCCCGATAGCTCAGGACAAAGGACAGATCAAAACCTACAATATTTCCCGCCATTTCTGATAAACAAAATTATATAACCATCTATCAGTGAACAAGTTTTTGTGGGATTTCTCTGAAAAACTTACCTTTGACGTCGAACCGTGTCTTCTGAGGAATGCCGAATATATTCGCTCTCAAATTAGAGGCAGCAGTGACGAAGTCCAATGCATCATCGTCATCTTTATCCCAGCGCAGGGGCTCATGAGCGGCATCTGATTGGATCCGTTTGCCAAGTGCTAGCAAGCTTTTCAAGTACAATTCACAAAGAAAAAAAATCAGACGATCCGTTAATTGAATGGTATGGACTGAACAAGTGGAGCTTGGAATCGCACCTTGAGCAAAACAAGTCGAAGGAGTCTTTTAGACTCAATTTCTGTTGATCCTTCAAGCCTCCGGCACTGGAGGCTTGTTGTTCTTGTTGCCCGTTTTCAGCTTGTGTTTTCTGAGATGCCAGTCCATCATAGCTCAACGGCGTAGGCGCTTGTCGCTGCTTCCACATATCTTCCATCATCAAGAGTCGCTTAATGTCCTCTTGAAACAGTTTCTCGAATACGATTTTTGACATCTCAGGCGAATCCAACTGGGCTCTAATTTCCTTCATTCGTTTCACTTCCTCTTTCAAAGCCTCTACTTCTTTCACTGTTTGTGGGCGAAAAACAATGGAAAAAGCTTAATCAGTACTCCCTGCGGTCGATGTAAGAGTAACAGGTTCGAGTTATGAGGGCTGACCACTTTCGCCATTTTGAATCGCTTCATCTAAATCCGCCCCTTCATTTTCATCTTCAGGCCCAAAGAGTTGACTGCGGTAACAATCCACGGTGAAGGCACGATAGAAGTGGCTCCAGTCATTTTTTTTTGTCGAATTTTGGTTGGTTGGATCACGAAAACTCACGGGAAGAGATAATTCTTCGCCCAAACAATGCAATGTATGGGACTAGATGGGGTTGAGCGGATGGTACATACTGGAAAGGTTTTCGGCAGTGGTTTAGGCTGACAATCATAGCACTCCATCTGACCCTGAGGACGGAGTATGAGAATCGGCAAAAATGCGAAGAGCATTCAACAGATCTTCTGTTAACCTTTTTGCGAAAAAATCACGGCATAGGAAAATTACAAGAGAATTCGGACGAGAACTCACACTTCGAATCGGTTGGACTTGTCCGCTGTAGCCCGCAGTCCCACTTTCGATTAACGGTACCTTGGTCATCACACACATCTTGTTAACATGTCTCCGGGCCGAAAGATTATCTAATGCGTTTAGGACCAGGTCGAATGCCTTGTAATACGCTTGGTCAAATTGTGAATCCATGATGTTGGCATGGAGGGCTTGAATAGTGACGTTGGGGTTGAATGCGGACGCTGTCTCACGAGCTACCTAATTGGACATGTTATAAATAAACATATTTAGCTATTTGATCTATTCACTGGGACCAGAGGTCAGGAGGTTCTCCTACAATTGCTTTGGGTCTCTTGACGTGCTTCTTTTGGAACAAAAATTGTCGGTTGAGATTGGAAGTATCGACTGTGTCCAAATCAACCTAGGAAGATTGGGTTAGACGCAGAAAAGATATTTCATCCAGGGAAGTAAGGAGAAGTATCATACGGATCAGAATAAATAAAGTGTCAGCTTCAAGCACACATTTTGTGCACGGATGAACTGAGAAAGGTGACAGACGATGGTGATATGACCAAACCCAGTACAGACTAAGTTCTTGAGCAATTCACATCCAATCCCACCTGCCCCGATGACCAAGACGGAGCAATTCCTGATCCGATCACGCGTTCGAGGGCCAAAAAGCGTTTCGAGGTGGGAGTAACGAGATGGAGAGGAAACCTGGGCTGGGTTGGATGGCGATGTTTGTGACATGGTTACGCGTGTGGTCGATGGTAAGATCGAGAGGGTCCAGCTTTGGGTTTAGGTTAACTCTGGTAGAATTGGAAACTTGCGCTTCCACGACCTGTGTAGACCAAAATGCGATCGGGGGTCAGTAAGGCTTTTCTTGTAATATCTTGGGGCCCAAGTGAGGGCGTAACACATACTTCAAATTTCTTGCAATCGTAAAAGAGGCACCAGATGGATGGTTTGTTCTAACTTCTAGGGCAACCAGACTGGCTTGGCATGTGGGTTTGTGGATATGATGGAAGTCGAGTGTGGAATTTTGAAGTATCTGCAGCGCTGTGATAATCCACCTTGCGCAGCCCTCAGCAGGGCAGAGCGAGTTTTAGGCTCCAAAGTGGCGCAAATTGCGATGGACAGAGTCCAGTCTAACAATGCCAAGGGCACATCAAAAGAGGCACATGAATGTTTTTATAGGTTTCAAGCTCTTACCCTCACAGTCAAACACAAATTGACAGAGGGTGTTTTTTGTTTTTGAATCCAGCCACTTACTTCCAAAATACCCGTTTCTTTTGATTTAAATTCAAGCGGAGGTTTGTTTCAAAAAAGGTGTACATCATTTTAATACAACGCAGAATTGAGAAAAGGATTGGTAAGAAGGAGAACAACAATAACATTCAAGCCGAAGGAAAGGGTATTTTTGGGTGGAGTATGTGACCATGACCAAACTACTATGAGTGAGTGAACTATTTGGCACGCCAAACTAATTCTCTCCAGTAAGCAGCCTCGGATTGACTGCGTACATGATTAGAAGGGAAAGCCTAAAAATTGCAAACATTGCAGAGAGCAAAGGGATTAAAAATCATCAGCTATTAAACCAATTTTTTTTTATGTTGAAGGGGGAGAAAGACAAACCATTAGGCCCGTTTGGATTTCTTGATAGATTGAACTCAGATAACTCTTTCTGGAAGAGTCAGTTAAACTGGACAGTTTTTGAGCATGATTTTGAATAAACGAGACGAGGGCTTCTCTAAGCTTGAGCAACTCGTTAATAACCTTGCCTTCCTCGCCCGTACCGACCGGATTACTATCCTCCCTGGGGGACTCCATCCCGATCATCGTCGAGAAAAACCAGACATACTTCTGACAGACTAGTTTGACGTCGGGCTCTTTCCTTTGCGACTGTAAACTGACACTCTCGATCTCCTTGTTCATCTTCGTTTGGAAGATCGGCCAGAGCTTCATCTTGATCGCCATCAGATGCGTCTCAAATGCCGGACAATTCGTACTGGCCGCGGAAAGTAGGCCCTCATTCAATTGAATCATCGCATAAATACTGTTCGTATCCGGTAGGTCGTTCGTAGTTAACAGGTTGCTTGTGAATGTCTGGGAATAAAGCAAGAGTAGACACTTGAGTTTGGGGGGTAGGAAGCTCGAAAAAGGAGAAAAAAAAACTTAAGGAATCTTAAGTTTACCTTGTGATATTCGAACACAGGTTCAATGACTTGTTTAAAGACCAGATCAATAGCAGTTTGTGTTTTTTGCTCATTCATGCCACTATTTGAATTCATTTCGCTTGGACTGCCGGTAAAGTAGCTATCCGAATCCGCGATGCTGCTCACAAAACTACCCTTCCTGATCATCGGGGTCGAGCTGCCTGAGACAGAAGCAGGGCCAAGATCTAGTCTACTGGTATTCGGGAACAGCGTCGACCCAGATTCTGGCACTTGTTGAGTTCCCAAAGAAAGCTGGCCAAAAAAATGATTGGCAAAGCTCCACTCCGAGATCGCATTGTCTATCGCCACAAGTGATAAAGATCGGAACAAGGCCTCAGGTGGTTGTTGCTATGAGAGGATGATTACTCAGAACGAGTTAGCTTCATGGGATGATACCAAGAAATTTGGAAAGGTAGCTGTAGGACAAATGTCTCAACTGACAAATGAAGGATCTTCGGCCAAATATGCCAAAACCACGTCTGCTCCATCCAACTTAGATTGAGAGATTATAGAATCATCGAGGGCTGTGGCACTCGATTGGGGATCGCCCACCAGACCAACTTTAGTCCACCCTCGAGCTTTGATTTTCTCCAAGGCCCTAACGTAACGACGAAAGCTGGTCTCAAAGTACCATCGGGCAGTTCCAACATAGGCTTTTTGGACCTCGTTGGCTACCCGAGCTGAGTGGCGCTGAAGGAAGGCGAAGAGCGGACGATATTTGAGTAAGAAGGAAGACTGCGTGATTTGAAGATTGGTGGTGATCGAGGCCCGAAAAGGGGCGAGAGCGGAGATGAAGAAGGAGCGGATCTTGTGGGCTGCCACGAGTCTGAGTTTATCAGCCACGTGGTCTGATGTGTCGATCGGGCGTTTCTCGAAAGAAGACGTGCGTAATGAAACCAATCTAATCTCGAGTTCTTTGATCGCTGTTAGCCAGGTGTCGCTCGGCTCGGTACTCATGATCGTCGAAATCAAGGAAGGTGGTATGACGGTGTTGGAGATGTAAGGTGAAAGCTTCTGTTCAAGTAATCTTCTCCCTTCTAGTCGGTTCTCGATCAACTTGGAACGGCCTTGAAGTTCGGCTATCGAAGTGGATACCGATGATAAATCCGCCTGAAAATGTGCCAAAAGCTCGGATAGTTGATCCAAAAGATCTCCACTGGCCTTCGAAAAACCGCATGAACGAAGCAATAACCCGATGAGGAATGTGGGCGTCCACAGAAGCAGTTGACAAATTGTGAAGAATACACACTTTGATTTCTGCTTGCAGGTCCTCATATTCCGTTTTCCGACTTCCATCTATACAAGCAATCGTCACTTGACCTCGGTCAGTATTATTGGTCTGAGAAAGTCGATGAAGACCGCGAAAAAAAAAGCACACAAAACTGCTCGACATCATCTGCCAATTTCTCGGCCCGTTGAGCTTGAAGAGCGTAAGCCTGTTCTAGATCTACGGATAGCTGGGCAGCGTGTGGTGCGATCTCAGGAAAATCTGCGGGTGTTGCGGGTTTTGCATGAGTACGATGGGCACGCTGATGAGGACAACGAGGTGTGGGTAGTGCACGAAAAAGCGTTGAATCCGACCTTCAGGATTAATCCGCAAGTTTTGAAAGGATGTCAGGATCTGGAAGCCCAATGTTGCAACATCAGTGTGGATTAATGATCTGAGACAACCCAGGCAGGAGATAGGAAACGATAATGTTTTACGAACCAGGTTCGAAAGTGCGCTTGGTGATAGACCATCAGACGTGCCGATCCCGAGGGCAGACAGGACACTGGACGAGGACATCGGTGCTGATTCCAAACTGGCGGCGAGGACACTGAGAGGTGGGTTAAATGGTCACTGGCATTGGTAATGAGTGCAATCCTTGCGTCATCGCCATCAGCAGCCTGATAGCAAGTCCCCCGGTCTGCTCACCCGCCGCGTCCGGGGGTGGTCGCAGAAAATGAGCTTTGATCTGAATTGAAACCTTCCATAAACACAAATAAGCTTGCATCACCTCGCTGGTTTGAGGAAAGTGGTCAAGACCGCAACCATCACAAAGTCGCATCCAAGCTCGCGAAGTATGGTCCTTCTTTTGCAGGGAATGATCTGGGGGCCAAAAATGATGATCCAGCTTGTTAAAAGAGCAAATATTCCAAATGGTTTTTTGGACCAGGAGGATGAAGGGATACCCTGGAGTGGTGCATTGTGTCCTTCCAAAAAAAGTTTTCTCTGATTTTTCACAGTGGAGTTTTCTTCATAAAATTTTCTTTTAGAAAAATTGATGTCATTCATGAATTTACTAGTTCCTCTACTCACATCAACTGATTCTCATCAATTTTTTTAGAAGTTGATAAAATCAAGATACATACTTGATTCTGAATCTCATTTGAATTTTAAACAACATATGAGATCAATTGTTTTTGATCAACAACTTCCAAGCATAATCCCTCCAGGATCATCTGGCACTTCAGTTGCACGTGGCAAATTGCTGTACAGTCAACTCTGTATTAACCCATACCCCTTGGTGGACACAAAACACTATGGGTTAATATAGAGTATGGGTGGAGGAAGGAGGGAAGACCTGGAATTTCTCTCCATCAAATGATGATTTCATGGGTTCAATGGAGATAAAAAACACTTTGTGGTTTTCAATCAAGTTCCCCTCATTATCCATCCACTCTTTGTTGGATTCAGTGGAGAACTTCCCGTTGGATCTGGGACCCTTGCAGAAGTCAATCTAGACCCAAAAAATCTCGATTCTCATAGAGAAATTTGAATTTCAAGGCTCTAAACCAACTCTGGGAGACCCCCAGATGTTGACGCAAAGTCCTCCAGTAAGCTCATTCTGCATTTGTTTTTCCACCAGTTCCTTGTTTTTCTTTTTTGACTTAGTTCTGCAAAGCTTGATATTTTTTTGAAAGTATATCAATGTGAATGTTATCAATTGAGCTGGAATAAGCAAGATCCTCTGGTTTATCTGAGTTCGATTGGATGAAAGACAGTATATCACCCTGTTGGAGGAGGTATTTTGGTATGGGTGGCTCTTCCATGATAGACTGGTTGGAAGGATTTAGTTTTTGGAAGCAAGAAACATCTGAACCGCCCCTCAGTAAGGTTAGAGAAAATTCCATGATTTTTTGGATTTTTCTCTCCATATGGTATGGGTTGCTGGGTATTAGAGAGTTATGGGTTTGATAGCCTTTTTTGGCTGTCCACCAACTTTTTGCAATGGGTTACAGGAGAGTATGGGTTAATACAGGTATGGGTTGGAGCAGAGTTGACCGTACAAGTCATGCAAGTCATGTCCAGATGGCCAGGACTTGTTAGTAGGATGCAACTTCCCTTGGTGCCAGGGAAAGTAGACGTCTTAATGGTTGGCCAAAAAAGACTGGCTGGACCAATTTGGTTGCAACTTTGGATTTGGAATCTACCCAGTCTGAAACCTCCAAAAAGATCATTGATTCATTATCTCAAGGTTTGGCCCCCTGACCCACCGCCTTGCCCCATGCAGCCAAGTAAGCTTTAGAAAGTAATTTGCTGTGTGCAACTGTAGATCTTTATGAAGTATTCATAATTAATCATCATGCACATTCATTGCCTCATTGGCATTGATGTGTCACACTGAGTTTTTATTTCACTTGTTTACTTGTATTTCCCCCCAGTTGAGGAATGCCAAGTTTCAACCAACTCAGTATTTTACCAAAACTTTGCAACCTTCATGTGAAATCAGTGCACTAAAATGATTCAATGTAACTCAATGCCAAGGCTACTTTTCATGAAAGTTCTTTTTGGCTCTCTGAGATTACTATTTTAATCATATGTAGAATTTTTACAACATTTCCCAAAAGGTATGGTGTTCAAAGTTACCTGATTTAGGGGTGTTCAAAATTGATTTTTAAACCACATTTCACATAAAATAGTTTTTCAAGGAAGACCCCAACATATGATTGATATTGTGGTTCAGTAAGCTTTATGATTTTATGAAGAAAGTGGTTAGAAAAGGGCCTTAGGAAAATGACTCACAAGGATTTGTTGATGCCTCCCAACAATGGCGCAACAAATATGATACATGTACTTCTGATGTTTGTGGTATCATATGCAATACACTGTATTTGAAAACTGTGTATTTCACTTCCTGATACATGATGCTTTGGAGAGAAGACACCATTTGTATTTCATGTGTCATATTGAAATACTTGTATTTCTGATGTATCTGTTATCAGATACAATTCAAAGTATTTGAAAACTGTGTATTGGCAATACAGATACATTAAATGTATCATATTTTTCACCTTTGCTTCCAAATGCTTTCAACAGATGTGCCTTGGGAGTCATTCCTCCAAATGGATGGGCCAATTTTGGGAGTCAGCCATCCATTTTAAGTAATAATTTTTTTTTTTTTGGGGGGGGGGGGGGAGTTGACTCCCCAAACCACCCCTCATTCTTGGGGGGGGGGGGTATTTGATCCTACACGACCAGAAGAAAATCATTCCACTTGATGAGGTACAACAACCTTATTGACTTGAAGGAAATCCTTCCACTTGATGAGGTACAACAACTTCATTGACTGGAAGGAATTCCTTTTGGTCAATGAAGTTGTTATACCTCATTGACTTGAGGGGATTCCTTCTGGCCAGTGATGTTTTTATGCCTCATTGACTGGAAGGATTTCATTCCAGTCATGTGAGATCAACCCCTCCCCAAGCATGAGGGGTGGTTTGGGGAGCTGAATACCAAAAGAAAAAAATATGGATGGCCAACTCCCAAATTCAGCCAGCCATTTGGAGGAATAACCCCCAAGGGATGCCCATCAAGACTCAACAGTATTTGGGAGTTGTTGATGAATCCTTGGGAGTTGTTTTTCCAAGGACCATTCAAAAGTTATGTTTTGGTGTAGCATTCTTGGATTAGCCACCCCAAGTGTAATTTAAGTTTGTTTGTGGGCAGAGTCTCCCTGGTCAAAGCTCACCATGTTGTAGCAGTTCTTGGCCTCATCCAATTTTTTTAGAGTTATTTTGTGAAAATCCAATGAGTAATTTTTTTTAAAAAAAAAATGTGGAATATTGAAAGTTCCAAAAATTGAAGCTGAGCTCTGAGCTTTGAGAGTGCATTACATAAGCATAAACACAGATTCAAGTTGAACCTCATTAATGATTACAAAAATCCTCAGCTAGCATGTAATTGTCCATATTTCTGGATGAGTTCTCCATGGCACTTCCTCTACCATCTTGGGCACACATAGCCCTTTTTCCTTCATAAGGAGGGGCAACAGGTGAGTTGTTAGAATCCTCAGCGCAAAACCCCCTCAAAAAACACGATTACAGCACGCGAGCATATTCGTTTTGGGTAGAAGCCTCTCCTGAAGTAGACGGAGAGACTGAGAAAGCTAGAGGATTTTTGGACATGAGGTCCTAGTTTTTGCAACGAAAATTCCTCTAGCATGCCTTCAAGTCAGCACAAGGTTTCCATCCGCCATCCCCATGCTAATCTAGAAAGCACACCATCTGATTGTAACTTTTGTGAAGACTTCGCCTGGGAAGCGCCCCAAAACATGGTCCAACTTCACCAGCACTGCCCGGCAGCGCCTGGTTCGGCATCGAGCTGTGTCTCTCTACATAGATTGAATGTGCACCGCCCCAATCAATTAATCAACACAAAACAGTGATGTAAGAATTCGATGGGCGGGCATTTCGGCATGGGCGAAGATGGCTCCGTTCGATCCCACACCCACCAACAAGATGCTTGAATGTGATGAAATCATCAGAGGCACGATCTGCCAGCTATGTCTGTGTGAGGATGGAGGCTCCTAATGCACACAGGGGTCGGTACAGGCCCCGCCGGTCGGCCGGTCGGCAGAAATGTGCTCATTAAGGGAGTTTTGCACGCTTTGTCATCCAGTGAGCGTCATGATTGGCAACGCCTCTTATGTATGGATGTCTAATCCATCCTTGCTGTCAAATTTTACGAAATTTTGTGGCTCATCAGCACATCGGCCCAAAATTGGCCGGCTACATTATTAGAACAGACCGTCACATGGAGCCTGTTCATCTCAACCGATCTGCTTATATGAAAGAGGGAATCGACAGGAGCCGACAACTTTGGAGTCGAAAAAGACGACAAGTCTCGGCTGAGTTTTGGTCGACATGCACCGGCAGGATGTTGGTTCGACTTCTTTCCAACGCTTGATGAGGAGCCATTGAGTCCAGCACATCCATACATAGCTGCAGAGTTCAGTAGAACAGTGAATTGTGGCCATGAGGAAAAAGGTATTTTTGCAGAAGGCTACATACCATAAAAGTCTACCATCCGGATCTATCCGCACGCGTTATGTGCTTGAGACTCCTCTCTGCGTTGCATGTATTCAAAGTGTGGGGTAGGATGTATGATACGCAGGGACCCACGTTCACGTAATACATGGAGCGCGGGGTAGACGCGGGGTAAATACATACTTTCATGCACACTAATATGTACGTAGCCGCCTGAAATGATGTCATGGATGTACAGAGCGAGACAAGACCGTCACCGACGGCAGCGAGCGGCGGCGGTCGCGCCTGGCATCCCGATCTCTCTCAAAGAAAGGCGATGAGGGTCGATTGGACGGTACAGGTGCTTGGAAAATCGTTGAACAGATTATAGAGATGGGTTGGGTGGCGTCCGGACTCCCTAGCCAACGTACGAATCCTCAGCAGAATCACCCGGACGAGCCCAGATATTGTTTCTTCACGATGATAAGAACGGTGACCGCACATACGACGATTGGCTCCCGATGGACATTGCTTGCATAGATCAATACACACTGTTTTCTGTTCGTTTCCAACACTCCCAATTTGAAAAGATCGATGGATGAAAAGTTTCAAGTGAATCAGTACACGAAAACATATCATCTATTAAGTCTATTAGAGCAGTGTCTCGTTCAATTTCTATCTTGAAGTGATTATAATAATATGCATACAGAAGCTGTGCCGCCCCGGCGTACACATTATGTATCTAGTAGATATCACAGTTGTCGGAGAGATAAAGAAGATATGGAGAGATCGATCGGAATGGAGCGGATGTGCCAGGGCGGGTGCTCCGGGATCTATTAAGGGCGGAGTTGCAAAGGATACATCATCAATATGTAAGTATTTAAATATTTAATATCTACGCACAGTCGTGTCGTCAAAGTTGACATCATTCTTGAGGGAAACTCGAAAGCCAAGTGCACAACACGCTGTTGACCGGTGTTAAGATTTATCATCACTGCGAGTTCCGACAGGGGATGAGAGGTGTGTGTGTGCCCGTGTGTAGATTGTTGTTATGTTGTAGTGCAATTCACTTTGCAATTAGATTGTGGGGAAAAGGGCTTGAAGCGTCAGAGAGTTGTATGCACACCAGGTGAAACTTCCGAAAGACTTTTGAATGGTAGAAACTCATGAGGGAGAGATAGATACGTATTATGGACTAAGCGGGGTACATTAGTATTCTCTTAACCCCATACTCACTCCCTCTCCCCCTTTTGGTTTCCTGGGGTCAAATGCATAGTGCGCGATCTTCAGTTCTCGTCTCTCCGGACCAACCAAACCCTTGGACCCCCGATCTTCTTCTGATTCTTTACTTAAAGAAGCTCATCTTTTCTCCGATCCATCCTCTCCTCCCCCGCCCTGGGAAGACTTTTGATCTCATACTTCTCTAAAATCAATATCTATCTATCGAAGTGTTACCTTATCATCAACATCCAGAAAAGCTAACTCCCACATTCGAATCCCAAGTTACTCTTGCCCACCATGTCCAGCCATCCTCAATCGGTCTACGGCCATCAGCAGCATTCCATCGAGCCCAAGCGATTCAATGGCTTCTTCAGTCCATCAGCAACCAGCAACAACACCAACACCGCCCCCTCCCTTATCAATCCAGACCATTTCCAGTTCAACAGCCTTTTTGGGTCCCATCCAGCACAGCAACAGCCCCAATTTAATCTGTCATCATCCTCATCTGGCTTACAATTCACCGATGATGAACTGATCGAATCCCTCATCCATCGTCAGCCAATCAACAACGGCAACCACCTCGGAGAATTCCCTCACTCCCCGCAGTCATCCAGTCTGACTCAGCCCATCTCATTCGATCAGATCACCCTGCTCGACCATCCTGCCCATCGGCACTCACAGCCACACTCCCATTCAAACCCAGCTCACCATCATCCTATCCCGATCACCACCAGGACTGCGGCAACCAGTCCTGATAGCGACCGGCGCAGAAGTTTCTCCTCATCAGTACCGATCGAGGACCAACAACTTCTTCTATCGCCTTCCTCGACCAACCCAGCCCGGTCCCCCTCCACTATGAGCTCGGTCTCCAGGACGACAGCCAATCATCAGCGGACCTTCCGCGCCTCCCGCTCACCGAACCCCAAGCCACTCCTCAACCGTCATCCGCAGCAGGCTGCCTATCCCTTCAGTCCTCCGACGTCGATCACCACCACCCTCGTCGACGAGGAGCGATCGCCTGCCATCTCGACCATCTCAGTCACCGAGTCGTCAACCCATCACCACCTCTCATCCTCCCAGCCGATCGGCAGCTCCTTCTACCGGCCCCTGCCCTCGGCGGATGATGCGACCGGCTTGCCATCCCCGCTGGACCGGATGTCAGATGAGCTGTCCCTATCCTCAAGCTTGCCCACTCGAAGGACATTCTCACCTCACTCTATCATCGATCAACAGTTCGTGAACAATTCTTCTCTTCTTGCTATACTACTATCTTGAACGTATTTATTTAGGAAGATCATCTCTAACTCCATTGAAAATAAACAAAAAAACCATCTTAGAAAGCTGGTTTTGAATGAAAAGAGAAGGAAGAGGAGAGAATCCCACAACGCAGTCGAAAGACGGAGACGTGACAACATAAATGATCGGATCACCGAATTAGCCGGCCTACTTCCCACTTGTCTACTCGACACCGTAGTCACTCCTAACGAATCTGGAATGATGATGGTGGTTAACGAGGAGCCTAGCCAAGCGGATGACAGCCAAGGCCTCAACTCGGCTTCCCATACCAAACCTAACAAGGGCATGATCCTGGCCAAGTCGAGTCCATTTTCTTACATGCATTCTCCTTTTGGTTGAGTGGTGCTCATACTTTCTTCACCTTCTTATATGTGGTTTTAGATCGGTTGATTACATTAAGCATTTGAAACATCTGCTGGAATTACAATCCCAGCGGAACACCGAATTGGAAGCCGAGTTAAAGAGGGTCCGGTCGGGAACTGAGCCTCATCAAGAAGACCCAAAACAGCAGGGCACCGAAGAGAAAGTTAGAGGCGGGGTGACTGGAGAGGATGAGGAAAATGTAAAGGGGGAAGAAGGCCCAGGGCCAGGTGGAATGAATGAAGACACCAGCGACCAGATCCATCAATGGATCAAGATCCACGACCAACAGAACGACCCCCAGAACCAAAACGAAAGCCAACTGGAGGACGAAAACATGATGATGACCAATGGATTCGGTCAAGATGCGGTTTCTTACAGGCCTGATCATAACATGGCTCATCGCCATCATCTCTCCTCGTCCTCCGACCCTACTAACCACCACCATGCTCATAATCTATCTACATCTGAACCTATCAAGTTTCATGAGGATCACTATTCTTCCTCCCTTGACCATTTCGCCTCGCCCTTTAATCACCGTCTCGGTAGCTTTGAAAATATTTACTATCATCTCCAGTAATTCTCCTCCTTCTCATCCATCAAGTTCTAGCACATCATCCTTATATCATCATCATCATCATCATGTAATTCTTCCAAAATCCTACGCAACCTTTCTTTTCTGCTTTCTTTTCTCATTCTAACATATGTAATCCTACATGCTTGTACATACGTAATTCTTTTTGTCTGGTTGTTTGTTTTGAACAAACTACAAAAAGACATGTGTCAGCTGATTTCTATTGGTTCTTTTTTCTTTTTTCTTCTCTGTCTGTACTTGTACTCTTTTCATATATATATATATAAATCTTATCTTTATAATATTAAAACTCAGTCAGTCTTGAGGTTTAATCTTCCAGACTTCTTTCTGCTTTCCTTAATATCTGTCTTTTGTTTTGTTTTGTTTTGGTCTAGTTTCTTTTTTTTTCTAAAAAAATCTTATTATTTTCATTCCTACAATTAATAACAAAACATGAATTCTAAAACCCTGAAAAATAAACCCTTTTCCTTTTCAGTTTTTGACTTTCAAATTCAACCCAGCCTTTGAGACTGTATATGTAGTCCTGTTGGCCATGAAGAGGAATCCCTTCCTGCCCTCAAGACTCCAGAAGCTTGATGGCTGAGAGAATCAGTCTTGCCAGCCAGGAGATCCTTGCTGTCGAGCTTTCATAGCATCAACAGGGGGGAGAAGTTGAGGTTCCCACCACCCGGTAAAGGGGTGGCTGGAACCGAGCTTAACTAGGCCTCCACGGCAGGAGTGGTACACCACGGCTTGATATTTTTTTTGGCGCCGCGTTGGCTTGGCTGCGGGGTTGAAGACAGGTCCGCACCGACCTGTCTGCTTTGTAATCAACAGCGGTGACAGGCCAACACTGGCGATGGGTAGGTCCCACGCTGGTCTTACCCATCCGACAGGGGTGTCATGCCGTCACTTCCGACACACCCTGTCGGCGTGACACTCGGGTCAAACTTGGGCAGTGGATTACATGGCCGACACCATTTGGCCCTGTTAAGCAGGCCAACGGTGTCGGCCAGTTGGCCCAGCCCAAAACGGCTGTTGGCGCGACTACAGTCAAAAAGGAGTCATTCAGGGCTTCTCCAGCCAACGAAGGCTTGCCTGAACAAGCGAGCCAACATTGTCGGCTGGTTGAGCCTTCGTCAAGCCCTTGAAGGGATCATCCTTGTCCGTGATCAGTGCGGGCTTGACTTGGTGGCAGGTTACACCAACCTGACTCGACCACCACCACCACCTGAACATCATAAGAATGGACTTCACTCTGACCAAACACTCGAGCACTCCCGAATCCCTCAGCCTTGTTGCCAGTGGCCCTGAGCCCGGAAACTCGTTAGAGCACGATGCTCCCGCTCCGACCAAACGCTCAAGCACTCCCGAATCCCTCGGCCGTGTTGCCAGTGGCCCTGAGCCCGGAAACTTGTTAGAGCACGATGCTCCCACTCCGACCAAACGCTTGAGCACTCCCGAATCCCTTGGCCGTGTTGCCAGTGGCCCTGAGCCCGGAAACTCGTTAGAGCACGATGCTTCAGTGTTGAATCACACACCAGCCCGCCGCCCTTCCAAGAAGGTCTGTTCCTCCAAGTCTTACAAGAAGGTGATTCACAAGCTGAATGCCTTCATTCCTTTGACAGGCTAAGATTACACCGGTCCCGACCGTTAGGCGAAGCATTCGCTTGTTCTACAAAAATCACCCATTCAATGGAAGTTTCTCGGCAAATGCCGACTACGTTCCACAAAACTAACCCATGATGGTGGCAATTCAATCAACCCCGGCAACAAAGTTGATGACGGACCTGAACATTGAAACACCTTACTTAGTTACACAAAAAAGCATGTTGCCTGTATTATATCTATTTATGTCATTCTACATGTCTACGTAAATATTTACATTGTCTCCTTCAAATCAAACCTGGGTCCGTTCTTGTTCTTGAGGTCGAGGCCACCGCGTTCTTCTTCACAGCCTTCTCTTGCTTTTTCTTAACAGTGGACAACCAAACAGTCAAACCATCATGCATTGTATTAAGCCATTGTAGTCGGTCAACCGTTCGAAAGCCAACGTCTGATACCTCTCTATGTAATGCTGGCGATGAGAGTGAAGCAAGGTTTACAACAAACCTCTCATTGTCGTTGTGAGTCAACTCTAGGGCCAAATTGGAGGTCTTTCGCCGTTCAACGGGTACGGCCAAGGTCTCAGTAAGTTGACATGCGCCGCGATGACAATCGTGCTGAGCATTCAGTCCACTTTCAATGTTCTACACACATCAAAACATCAATAAGCTTCTCATCCATTATGAAAATAAGACATAATGCTAACGCTTGAGTGCACAAATGTTTCTTGAGGGGTTCTCTGGATGTCCCTCATCATGTAAGCGTCGTTTATCCCCATTTTTTGAAAGACCGTTGTATGAATAAAGTAGCCACTTTGATGAGAAGGTCTCTGAACCATCCAGATGGAGTTTATCTGGCCAATGTGTTGGTTTTTTTGAGGCTGCAAGACATTGAACTACATGAATTAGATGACTGAATCAGGACAGCTTAATGGATTACAGATCAGATCAAAAAGAATACCAGAATAAAATAATCCTTTTTGAGTACTTGCTTCTTGTTGAGGTTGAGTTCAGATACTTGTGTGATTTTGTGGGCCGGGTATGAATTCTTCAAGTCTTGAGGGATTGCTAGCTGGTTAAGTTCTGGTAATGAATCTTTCTTAACATTAGGAAAATAGTTTATATTCTGAATGGAGTCTGAATGATTATAGCCCAAGCTTTTCTGGATTAAGGGATTTTGGGTAAACATATTGGTGACTAGATTGGAAGATTGAATGTATTTCTTTGTTATAGGATCAAAAAAGAAACCACCTGAGATAATTTGACGGAAAGTGTGATAATTGCTGAAAGTAATTGCTATATCTTGACCAGGACTTTGACGGTTTGAGTGAATTGACGCAAATCTAAGAATGCCGTTATAACTTTCAAATTTTTCTGTTGCAAAAAGAGTAGCTGGACCAAAACGTAGAATAGAATCTGGAAGGTGAAGCAACATGTGAAACTTGGCTTTATTGACCCATTGGGCAGAATCTTGAATAATGTGACGTAAAAATATGTCAATATGATTCCTCAAGTCAGAAATATATGTCTCCATGTTGTCAATGTGAGTTTGGAAGATTAATGAGCCAAGATGACAGAGAGAAGACCAGATTTTGATTTGGGATTGGGTCATGAACTGGAAGAAGATGAAGGGAGCTGCTTGGAGAATAATTCTAAAATCTTTGCCAACTAAACTTGAATAATATTGGACCATGCTGGCAGGTCTGATAGAAGGGATATTCAAAGAATGGGTATTAAAAGAATTCCATAACGCCACAAGTTTCTTTTTTTGAAGTTCGTCCAATCCCTTCATAAAATCTCGGAATAAATACTTCACTGGTCCAAGTAAAAACACATGTAAGACTTCAACTGGAGTATCCTTGACAGAATCAAACCCTAAGAAGGACCAAGAAAGAAGGAGAACAGAGTTAGTTATAACTTTCAATGTAGAATAACTCATAAAAATAAAAACCTTTCAACTCCAAGTATGCATTAAACATCCTTTTGGGTTCCTTCTCTTCCATATCCACCAATTTTTGAGGAATGTCCTGCTCAAACCGAGTTGGTAATTCTTCTCCCGCCGCCAGTAATGCAATTTTTTCTGATTGAAAGTTGAACACTTGTTTGGAAAATCTCAGATTGATTTGATCTCGAACAGCTAGTTTGGCAGATTTAGCATTTAGTTTATCCAAGTTCAATGTTTCCTTGGTTTCTGTCCACAGTTTTTTCGAGTTCTCTTTGGTTTCTTCCATAGTACGAAGGGGATTTGGACACTGTGTCAGAAGAGTAAAAAAATTAGAACCTTTTTTTTATAAACAAGTAAAAATTAGTTGATATGTACATCTGATCCGGGTGAGTTCTTTTGAGCAAATTTGGCAAGATACGCGAGTTTTTGGCGGGATTTCAAATCATCAGAGCTTAAGACACAATATCGGCAAGAATTGAGAGCATTTCCAGGAACATGGGTGTTGGTGATTTCGGCGTGCATGGGGGAATCTGCTAAGAAACAAAGAGCACTAGTCATAACATGAACCTCTTGGTCTATGGTACTATCATATGCTACAAAGCCCTTGGTGGCCATATCACTGGATTCAAATTAAAGTAAAAGCAGTAAAAATCAGCAAAACAGACCCAAAGAAATAAAACAATGGGAAATAGGAAAAAAAATACTTCAACTGTTCAACAACCATTTCTCCTAGTTCAAAAGGTCCGGTAATGTTGGATGTGCAGAGAAAATGACAGTTGAATTCCTGATTGGAGATTTTGGGTGGTAAGCCGGAAAGTGTAAAGTAGTAGGAAATATGTTTGTTCCACTTTTTAGATTTATTTCCGGAGGTGTCATCACAGTATAAGTTGATGGGAACATTTCTCAAAATCTTTCCCGCTGCTTTTTCTCTCCAAGGATTTGGCAAGCTGATAGTTGAATTATTTTCATCTTTTTTGTCAAACACAACAAAATCAGGGAAATCATTCAGTTTGTTTGTTTTTAAATGGGTTTTTGACAATTTTCCCTATCAATAAAATCTCACCAATCATTTCTTTCCCGCAGCATTCAGCCAATTTTGAGCCACTATTCAGCCGGATATCAGGATATGGTACAGAAAATTCATCAACAGAAATTGTTCTCAGGCAATCATCGTGATAAGAGATGTTTTCAGAAATGTGAATTTCTACTTGTGATTGTTCTAGATTAGATTTGAATATAGGCTGGTAGCATTTTGCGTAGGTTTTTTCATTCTGAAGGTGAAAGAAGATAGGGATCACGATTTGAGAATATTTTAGTTTTACAGGCTCAAAGATATAGAAGTGTTTGTTGTCGGAATCCACCATCTGAACGCGAAGATCTGATTGGAGGTGTTTCAGCCACTTGGCTGATTGAGATGTCTTGTAGATATTACGTCCGTTTGTTTCTTCTGGCACGAAATCAAGATGAGGCGCAACAAGAGGATTCAACAAATCCTGACAAAGCAAAAAGACAAGTTGACTTATTAATGCGAGCTGTATTGTGGAAAACAAACCAATCAAGTAAGCCACTCACATCTCTGATTAACTCCTGGGCATTCAATCCAAACACTGGCTGACCAAAAACTGTCTCTTTTTCAATAATAGTGTGATTGGACAACGTTCAAATTTTTGCCCGCATCTGTCGCAAGGCCTCCCATCCAGGAAGTAGGACGTGGTATATCGTGAAAACTGACCGGATTAGATGGTACATATCCCGGGACATAAGCTTGTGTAAGTAACCAAGGAGCAAGGAGCCAACAAGATACTGAAGCATAAATCAACAACCAGGTAAGTATTTTGTTTCTTTCTTTTTCATACTCGAGTCAAATCCTATCACCTCTCTATTTAGAAATGGATACCAGGATGAGTTATCGGGCGTAATTTTTCTAATCTTCTCTTCTTCGAGATGAAACAGGGGGCTCAAATCGTCCAGACTGGAATCCTCGGGTTCAGCATTTATCTGTCCAACGGCCACACCAATAAAATCCATCCAGCTCAGCTCTCCCTCCTCTTCATCGGACGACTCCTCCTCAAAAATACTTTGCGGGACTTCCTCTGGATCTTCAGAAGTGGGGATTTCACGACAAATTTCTGTATCTTTGAACGTAGGTGTTTCATTGTCGTTGACCACAGGAAGAATCCCCGAAATGATGTTATCAAGAACGATTGGTACGTGGTTCGATGTTTCAATTACTGTCCTCTGAGAACGCTCCAAATTCTGAGTTTCCTTGTTTAACCGAACAAGATCTTGATGTCGATTCCTTTGGCAATGCCTCCTCCTATCCGTTGTTGCCTTTCCGTGGCATAGGCAGCACACATACTTGGTTTCCTTGCCACCATTTCTTGCAACAAAGTCTTTCACAAAAAGGTAAGTCTTTTTAATGCTTCCTTAATGTGAAGACCAATAAAATGCTTACATCGATAATCTAAATCCATTGATCCTAGTTTTTGAATTTTGGGCAGGTGTTTTTTTCAACTTATTGACTGATTTGACTTTTCACCAGGCAGGACCCTGACCGGATAAAATTGTATGAACCAAAAGGTATTTAACTGATGACCGTTGGCTTATTCCTTATTTCCTTTCACTGCCAAAATCAAGGACTAACAGCAAATTCAACCGTCCCTTTTTGTCGGTCATCTCAAGCAGCCCCGGTTTATCTCAGACCGGACTCCCAGCCCTTCCCCTCACCTCCTCTTTCAGCCCCCAATCTAAACCCATCCGATTTCATTTGTCAGCCCAAGCAGCCTTGATCACCTTTGCCCTTGTCAGCCCACAACTGCCACAATCACCGATCTTTTTTCAGCCCCAGAAAACCACAACCCAGTCTTTTTCATCACAGGCAAATTCAACCACCTTGCCCAAACAGCCCAGCAAACAAGGTGTGACGCAATCTCCTTCATCTGTTTCTCTCCAGCCTGGAAAACTGGCTGACCTCAATCTCTTTCACACTTTGGTCGGTGTCTGACCAACCAAGTGGGGAATACCAGAACATTCCTGCCTCTCAAATCGTACTTAAACCCTCCCCCAATCACTCCCTCCCTCCCCATCCATCCGATCACACCTTCGCAGATTGTTCCCATTAGCTATTCTTCTGCTCTGACCACACCATTGACCGATCTTCTCTTACAGTGTTCACTTATAATGGTCATGTCAATGAGTGACCTCATCCAGGGTGATGTCAATGATCCTTCAACCCAGTTCGAAGGAGTCCGAGACCAATTGATTCCTCTCATCGATAGCCCTAATCATACTAGTCCTGTTGCCAATCAAGAGATTGATCCAGCCAATCTCTTCGGTCCTTTATCCACTGCTGATACCACAATGAACGACACAGTAATCTCAAGCCTTGATTGCGCCATCAACAAAACCTGCACCGATCTTCAATCCAAGTTGAATCTAGATCCTGAGCACTTGAGTATTGCACTCTTGACTAGCACGGTAGGTGTCACTTGGTCTAGCTTGTCTCTTCTCCTGCTTTGAGCCAACCAATCTCCTTTCATCATTCTGAATGGTTTTCTGATCACTTCCGAGCTTATATTTCTTCCCTATCAACCAGTGTGATCCTGAAGCAAGACACGCGAACATGATATTTGCTATGGCTGCATATCATCAGCTCAGCGTTCAGTCTAACATGAGCTCGGCTGCAAACCATTTGTATGACGACAGGTTCAAGGTAAGCGATACCATCACATTCACACTGATCTCACATTTCTTCTTCTATAGCTGACACTAGCCTCTCAACAGGACTTTGTGCGCACTCAAGCTTGCATGATCTTGCTCAACCCCACCCTTGAAGCATATTCGAACAATCCACATCTAAATGGAGCTCTTCCGAAAACTTTGTATTATCTCACCCTTGTAAGTCTTTCTTGGATCCAATCATGTCTCTTGATGCCTTTATTGCTTCTGACTCCTTTTCTCATAATTAGGATGCGGTTGATCAACAGTCCACTGAGTGGAAAGAAGACCATCTCGCTTCTAAACAACTTCAAGATGATCCGGTTGCTCTTGAAAATTACCGAGAGGCAGTTGGCGAGCTCTTGAAGAATCAACGCAGCAACTTGCGTACACTGGTCAGTTTTTGCTTGATGAAACATTGGTCACTCATGGATCTCTAACATTTTGTTTAACAGCTTTTGGCAAACATACTCGAAACACAGAGGATTACCATCAAGGGACCTGTTCCCAATCGCCATGAGATGCTAACTTCTGTATGTATTATCTTTAAATATACATTGAACCATTCCGAAACTGACTGGGATCCTTGAGACCTTTCAGATCTACCAAGACCTCCCACCCAAGGGGGAGAAGTTGACCGCCACCCAGATCCAAGCCCAAGTCAATGGGAATTGGGCGATGCGGATCCGAATGAGCTATGCTCGACTGGTGATGGTGCACTACTACGTCCACAAGTCTAAAAAGACCTCGCAGTGGGTGGAAATTGACGAACGACTTGGTATTTTACGAGCCTCCTCAGTTGATTTTCATCAGCAGTAAGTTTTTCACTTGTTCTCACTGTTCTTGCTTTAACTGACCAAACATGCTTTCTCCCTCTTCCTCAGCCACGCACAGCTCGTCTTGGATAAGGATAACGAGCTTTTCTCTCACCTCAAGAATTTCGGTGAAATTCCAAAGGAGGACTTTACTGTTCCTGGCCTTCACGATGTCCGAGCTTCAATGATGGCTCGTGGAACCCCTGCCAACGAATAGATTGAACATCTATCTTACGATTGGTCACTAGTTCTGTTTTTCTCTCAATCACTGCTCCTTCATGTCATCGACCACAGGCGACCTATCACATTTCACCTCTTTTCATGCTCATGCTCATATTTGTACCATGGATACCGCAGGTTTTCCTGAAAAAGAAAACCACCCGGATCCTTTGCCTGCAATCCAAGAGCTCTACAGGTTTTCCCGAAAAGAAAACCTGTAGGATTCATGCCCGCAATTGTCTCTTCCTACATATCCGGAAGGTTTTTCTGAATTGAAAAATCCTCCGGATTCTTTTTTTTTGTCACCTCCGCGGCTGTCCGACGTCGGGGTCATCCTGACGGCTGACTCATGACATTGGCCGGCTGGAAGCTATCACGTTATGTTTGCGCCAAGCAACACTGGGTCACTGCGCTACCAGTAACGGTAGCGCAGCGGTAAAGTAGCGCTTTTTTGGTCATTAGCGCTACTTTTCCTGTAGCGCAAATGCGCTACTTTATCATTCTCTTTTCTAGCGGTATTTTTTCCGGCCGCTACGCTATCGCAGCGGCCTTTTTTTTATGTTTTTTTATTACGTTACGGTAGAGGGGAGATGATATGACAAAAAGTAAAATTAGAGTCAAAAGGATTTTTATTTTTATTTTTTTTTGATGGGGGACAAAGGAATTTTATTTTATTTTTTTTTTGATGGGGGACAATGCCTGCAGAGCTTTACCAGCCTCGTCAAATTCTCCGCTGAGAGGAACCTCTTCGCGAAGCCACATGAGGCTGGAAACACTGTGAGACATGGTAGATGGGAGGAGGCTCCCGCGGCTGGTGCTGCACACATCTGAGGCCGCAGAGAACAATCTCTCAACTGCGCAAGAGCTACCAGGAGCTCCTAGATATTCTCGAGCCAGAATGGCTAGGATCGGGTAAGTCTCGTGATGGGCCTTCCACCACTTCAACGGGGTACTTTTGTGAGCGAGATCTTCAGCCTTGAAGGAGATGTCCGCCTTCATGTACGCCTCTATCTCGTTCTCATCAAGCAATGGTTTTTGCGCGCGTGACAATCGATCCATGAGCGAATCGGGCTCGAAGCACGTAGTCGTTTCTAATACCATTACATCTGGGTCGGTACCTTGCAGTGCCACAGGTGCTTGATCCTTGGCTCGTTGATACTGAAGCTGCAGTAGGCTGAGGCAGTTGATGACCTCAGAGCTGTCAGCCCCAAACGCCAACTCAAAAAGACGGATGCGGTAGCATGGGTGCATCATTGTTGCGAGAACAAGTGTGCTGCATTCCATGGCTTCGGCAAGATATTTCTCGACTCGTTCCGACATTGCATGATACATGGGATACATTGAATCCCTTGAGGACGAGTCGGCTAGCTTTCTTTTGAGTGACTCTTTGAGTTCCAAGTACTTTGGGATGACGTGGGTACCGGTTGGTGAGTTCCCTTCCATCTCCGAAGTCAACTTAACAAAGACCTACATTGGAAAGTCTCGGTTTAGGTCAGTAACAGGAAAAAAAGGTAGGTCCATTGGAATCTTACCTCCATCTCCCGATTAAGATTATCGATCTCCTTCCAATCGCGAGGGGAAAAGAGAACATCATCAAAGTCTCCAGCGCCGTTGCTCTCTTGATCTTCTTTTAGAATCTGGTCTATGACCTCTCGGGCATCGATGGCTTTTTTGTGGCTTTGGTATTTGATATTCCATCTAATACCATAGCCCGCAATCAACGGGGTCACCTTCAGATTGAGTTGCTGAGCGATTCGGGTGAAATTGGCCCTTTGGGCAGCTGACCGAGTGATCTGTTTGATCACAATGTCAAGCTATCCAACAACATCAGTATGTGCACCACTGAAGACTGGACATCAAGTGAATATGTAGCTTACTTTCTGGGTGAGATCCAGAAGTCTGGTTGTTTTTCCATGTTTTTCTTGGCCTACATCTTCTGATTCATCCCCGGATTCCATGACATTGGAAGCCTCATCATCCCCTTCATCGTCGGCGTTCCCGTAATCACTTCCAGAATCTTCATCATCCATCTCCCGATTTTCTGTCACTTCCGTTCTGGGAGCTTGACTAGTGGTAGTAATTGACTGAGACTGAGAATCCAAACGCTCGGGTTCTTCCTCCTCCACCAGTCTTCCAAGTACAGGGAAGAAACCTAAGACAGAGGCTTTGGTTTTTGATGGCGGAAGGGTTTTGAGGGACAATGCCACGAGTCCCGCATTTACAATGAGTGCAAGCTTGTGGCAAAAGCACCGGATGTGCATAGTTGCCGGATCCCAGGCGTGATCTGTGTTCTTGTTGGCATCACAGAGCAATCGGTCCATCGTGCTAGCCATAGTATTGTTATTGGACCCAGAATCGGTAGTCTGGGCCAACATCTTTCTATGTAAATTTTTCTTCTTGAGGATCACGGCAATAGGACGAGCCAACAGATGGCCAGCATGCTTCCAAGGAATCATCTTGAGGGTTAAGTGTCGGACAACATATTCCCACTCGCGGTTAATGTAGGCGACAGCGGCACCGATGAAAGCGAAACGGTTCCCCTTTGTGGTCCATACATCATGGATCAGGGTGAACCTAGTGTCAAGATTCTTTTGATGACAAAAATGTACACACGTCAGTATGTTTAATGAAACAACAAGCAACAATTCGAGTAAGAAAAGGAAATGTACTTACACTCAACTCGTCAAAAACATGTGCCTTGAGCATACTGTACAACTTCTTGGATTCATCGGCAGACCATCGACGACCATGAAGCAGCGCCTTGGGGTTTGCATATCGGAATGCCGCTCGGAGGTAAGGATCCTCAATTCGAGTCCATGGCAATGCTTGGCGAATCTGCCAAAGCATTATCAGTTGATTCAAGACTTTGTTTACAAAGACGGTTTTGTACTCAAGAAAGCCTTTAATTCCTGGTTGTGAGGCATCTAACCCTCCTTTCGCCGCTGCCGCTCGAGATTCGGCTACCGATGGGGGCAAGATATACCCAGCGAGCTTAGCTTTGTGTCTTCCAGGGCAGCCTTTGTCGCTCTTGTCCTCCTGTGTAGAACCATCACGGTGAGTCTTCAGATTCCCGCGAGAGCTTTTCTGTCCACGATAGACACCTTTGCAAAATTTGCATTGGTAGTTGAGAGCAGAGTTTGGCGGATCGCCTTTCTTGAAGTATGGTTGCTCGAAGTATCGCAGGAGCTCTAATGCTTCTTTTTCCTTTGCTTCCTTCAATCCCCCCTTCCTATTTGGCCTCGCAACTATTTGAACAGAGCCTTCAGAGCTGTCCTGGTCGTAATCGTAGGCCTCGCCGGCCGCATTGACAGCTTCACTGGAACCTGTAGTTTTACTCTTCTTGTTCTTTCTGTGCGACTTTGGGGCCTTGACAGCCGGCGAAGCTCTTTTCTGTTTCTGTCGCTTGGACCGGGTATTCTTACATGTAGCTGAATCTGCAACTGAAGTGCCTGAGTCCAAATCTGAGGCATCGTTTGGTGGAGGTGATGCCATAGCTGGCCTCTTGGTATTTGGAGGAGCAGGGCGGCTGACTGTCCTCCGGGAGTCAGATGATGGAACAATCATGTTTGGAGAAATTGTGACTGAAGAAGAACGCAAAGACCGTCGACGTGAACGGTGGGATTGATCTGAGACTGTTGGATTATTTTCAGAGGCCTCGTGGGCATGGAACTCTGACGACTGGGATTCGGGAGCCATGATGGATAAACAGGAATGGCGGAAAGTGGAGATGGTCGGGGACAAAGATAAACCGCAGCGTCTCTCCACAGGTCAGGTCCCTGAAGGGACAAAGCTGGACCAGTTCCTCATCAGCTTAGGTCTGTTTCACCCCTGGATAGTGTAGTAACCAACCATCCAGGGGTGAAACGATTATATTATCATTTTTTGGCAGTAGTAACGCACTATCCAGGGGTGAAACAACTACATTATCAATTTTTTGGCGGTTTCAAAAAAGGGCCCCGTTACGCTACAGCCCAAGCAAAAAATTATTGGGTTAGCGTAGCGGTAATGTAGTGGCCAAGCAGATGGGTGAGCTACGCTACTTAGGTACGCTGGATAACGCAGCGTAAAGTAGCGACCCAGTGTTGCGCCAAGTCTCCTGCAGATGCATGGCGTAATCCTTCTTTTGAGGGCCCATTGTCAGGACAACCCGACGGCTGCCGGGGTGTCAGTCCTCCGTTTGCAGATGACGGGGTCCTTACCCTACCCAGGCCTCACGCCTTTCGTAACGAACACTACGCCGGCCCAGCGTATTCTTTCCCGCGCAAGATCTGCGTCGGAAGATTCTTGACGCAGTGGCATCACACAAGCCTTGCGTAGCGCATCAGCCGATGTGATGCCATTACGAAAGGCCTGCGTTGGCCAATCTGCCAACGCAAAACCTTGTCGGAAAGCTTGCGTCAAGATAAGCCGACGGCGATTCTTGACGCAAGGCCGGCGTCGAAAGATCAGCCAACGTCAGTGCATATCGTCTCCTGCCTTGAGACATCAGGTCGGCCACCCAAAATTTTTGGTGGTGTCGGGAGGGTCGGGCCGACGAAATTTCTTTTGTCGGCACCCAGTCGACCAAAACCTGTGGTGTAGCAAGCAGCAGAGCTGTCCACACCAGTGGAGGCCTATGCATAAGGTGACAATCCCCGCATGCTGAGATTGAGGATTTGGGTTGAAAACCTCCATTTTCATCTTTATCCTATCGTAGCCGCTGTCTCATCAACATGTACAGTCTCCTCCCAGATGTTTATAGCCATCTGTTTTGAGCTCCACACCGGGAACCCAAACATTTCAAGTCACAAGAATTTGTGGAATGGTGGAAAACGGGTCTCAAAGAATGAATATGAAAAAAAAATAACAAAGAATAAGATTTTAAAATTTGTAAAAAGTAAAAAGGAGAAAATCACAAAAACTGACAGCCTCAATTTTTCTTTCAGGAAAAGATGAAATGTCCAAAGTGATAGTATGAGATATGGAATGAATGATAAAAAGTGAAAATTTGGAAAAAAAATGACTACTTGGTGGTTTAAAAAGGGTGCCTAGGGGGTCATTCATCAAGAAATGTGGCATTCTGGTACTGCAATCTACTGATTTTGACTGCAGGGTGTCCACCCACCATGCTGAAACTTTTTTTGGATCAATATTTTTCATTTATAATCATTCTTTTCATGTTCCAAACTTGCCCTCTGTGTGTTCACTTTTCACTCAAACAAAAAATTAAAGTTTTCAAAAAAAGTTGATTTTCTTTTATCTTTTCACAAATTTTAAAATCTTATTTTTGATTATTATTTTTTCATATTCATTCTTTGAAACCCATTTTCCACCATTCCACAAACTTGTGTGACTTGAAGTTTTTGGGTTCCCTCTGTGGAGCTCAAAACAGATGGCTATAAACATCTGGGAGGAGACTGTACATAATTTCCTTCCCAGGCCATGAAGGCCTGCTTTGTATTCTGTTTTTTTTTATGTTGTGTTGCCATCCTCTTGATTGTCATTGAAAACAATCACTTTTTGACTTGAGTTACCAATGCTAAGTTAGATTGCCCTGATGTTTGTATTTTTTTTTTCAACCACTTGATTTTAATTAGTAAGCCAAGTGAAATCATACCTGGCATAACAGCGTATAACATGACGCCTCGACCGTTGGAATGATGAATGAGATTGTTGGTCAGTCGGATACTAGAGAAAGCAACTCTTGACAATCTGCAATCTGATTCAACATTGATAAAAAACAGAAAAATGGACCCGGAACCTGAGGAATCAACGGCCCTGAGACATTGTCAAGTTTGATTGTTAGTCAGCTCAAAGGGCAATGGCTGGCTACTCCTTCAACCAATCAACACCATCCAAATCAAACATCAACCACACTTCAGCATGGGATTCATCATCCCAATGGAATTATTTTCTCAAAAGAAATCATTCATACATAATTGTATATATGTCCATAGATATCGTTGTTAGAGATATTGAATAAGAAAAAGAATCTTTGGGTTTTTTAATCAAAATAGAATAAGAAATCTTGATGTGATTCAACTTTGGTGTTTCTCTCTTCCTGGATAGCATTTGAAAGAATGTTTTTCATTTCTTGAGAAATGAAAAGCCAATTGTATGTAACGGAAAAAAGAAGTACTAGGATGGATGATCAAGAGAAGAGATGGGAAGAGGGGAATGAGAGAGGGACCTTTTGAATTTTTGAAGCCACTCCCCAGAGTCTTGGCCTCTTCAATGGTGAGATCAGACATTGTTGCATGGTCTTCCACAAGAGCATCCCACAAATCAACCCGACCACCTCTGGCACCCCCAGCCAACCCAACCTTCATCAGATTAGCCAATGTTTTCGACACCCGAAAGATCTGGAAGCAGGTTGAGTCCTCCAGGGTCCCGTTCAAGGGACTTGTCTTGGTCCCCTTCAAGGGGTCTAGAAATCCTGTCTTGAGCTCCAAGACCCTCCTCTTCTTTGTTGCTGGTAGACTAGGAGGACTGTGGATATCATTTCCATACTAATCATTTACAGTTTCAGCATGTGTTCTTTCACCTTCTGGTTTTCATAATGAATCAGTATGTTGAAGAGGAGGGTTAAACAAAGGATAAAAATAAAACAAAAAGGTTGGTGTGCTTACTTTTATCAAACTTGAGCGTGATGGTGGTCAGGTTGGGTGGAAGCAAAGGTGGCTGAAGAGCAACAAGGAATTTAGTTATCAGTATGGTTCTTAGCCATGGAAGAAAAGAGTGATACTCAGTTACTTAAGAAAAATGACACAATTAAATCAGTTTCCTCTGTTTTGTGTTGATTGGACATTTGGTGTTGAGAAGATTAACGTTGTGGAACTACTCTTTGGGATGAATAGAGCTGGAGAGGAAAAGATGCTTTAATGGGCTGCCTCTCTGGTAACTGGGTTGAGTAAGAGAACAAGAAAAAGATAAGAGTATGGACTCTTAAGGAAAGGTGTGGCTTTGGAGAATTATTGAGATGGGTATGTCTTCTGTCTGAATAATACTAGTATCCCAAATGTTGATGGGCAACTACTAGGCTAATGAAGGGTGATCAGTTATCTGGATTGCTGGGGCAGGATCTGATGAGGGACCAAATGAAGAGGGGAAACCAAGGCTCCTTATATACAAAATCTGGGGAGTGGCCAGCTTGTGGTTGGAAAAACCATGGAACAAAATGGAACAAGAGAAAATTATCGAACTGAAACATGTGGCCCAATTGGTAGGCACTAAGATGGATGGAGGAAATGACATCAGAGACATGCAGGGATGAAATGTGCCACAACCAATGAGGGAGGAAGAATATACCAAAGAGATAAATGAACTAGCCAGATGTGTACTAGTGTGAGACGTGAAAATAACCCAAGAGGAATAGTGTGACACCATTGAATGTGGCCCAAAGTGGAAATGGGGCTAGAGTGAAAGTGGAATTGAATGAAACACATGCAAAGGCCAAGTGTGGAAGGCTGAATGGGGATTGATGATGTAAGACTGCATGAGATGATTATGTAATAAAGAAATGAAATATGAATCTATTATCTAGAGTGTCTTCTGTCCTGGGGGCTTGTTCTTGTGACACATGGTGTTGCAGGTTGGCTGAATAGTCCAGAGGGGGATTGTTTTGGTCCTTGATGGTAATGTCTTCCGGAGGGCTTGATATTATGCTTGAAGCTTTGATTTTGTGGGCCTCTTATTCAAGATTGGCTTACCACAACGTTTTTGATAAAACAATGACTTGTTGAATTTCAACCAGATGTAAGAGCCAGGAGCTCTTCACTATTCCGTACGTGCAAGACCAGAGTCTTGGAGAGATTCTAGAACCAGAATATTTTATTACATTCAAAACTAGCTCAGAGAGTGAAGAATCAGAATTCTCTCCTTCAAATCTATGGAGGAAAGATAATCAGAGAGAGAGCCAAGAAGAGAAAGAAATGGGAAAACTCACCTAGCTCAGAGAGTGAAGAATCAGAATTCTCTACTGAGCTAGGGAAGGGCAATTGACGGGAATATAAAGGGGATTCCAGATTAAATAATTTGTGACACTTCACCTTGTGAACCCCACAGTACGTGGGGGGCTTCACAGTCTCCCCTCCTACAAAAAAGAGAAGAGAAAAAAAAATGAAACAGACAGTTATGAAAGAAATCAATAAGGGTAAAGAAAAGAAAGACAAGGTGGGAAGGTTGAGGTATGGTGATCTCTGAATTTGGACCCAGGACAAAATGAATCTTTTGAGTGGTCCAGTCGATGTGCAGCTGTAGGAATCCTTTGGTTGGGATATGTTGGATGATTATTTTGAAGAGGTGCTACTGTTGGCCGGCAATTGATTTGGAGTCTTCTTGATGAGTTGGTTACTTGTCTTGCCTTTAACTTAATCGGTAGACCTGTGACCAATCGGTGACACCAATTGTTTGAAATGTGTAAGTGGTGGAAGGCAAGGCGACAATGTGACGGCGTTGACACATACCTCTCATCTTTTGCCAGCTGAAGTTCCTCATCAATGGCTGCAAGAGCTTCTAGTTCTTCCGGTCCAAGGTCCTCAAGTGTGATTCCATCTACCTGCGCTGGTTGAATGTTGTCCGCAGTGTCGGAAGCTTCGAGTCCTAGTAAGTGTTCGTCAAGAGCTGCAATAGCTGCTGTGCTAAGCTCGGGGAAGTAGTTGATCTCTTCTACTCCTGCTACGTTAGCTGCTCGCTGCAATGGTCGGCCAGCTGGCTGGTGGGTTGGTTTTCCGGCAGTAGTGTTTTGACTGGTTGTTGCTTTGGGGGGTTTATAATCAGCTGGTTTAGGAGGGGTCTTGAATGATGAAGGGATTTCTACATAGGATTTGTCGATTTGTCCCGGGCAGGCTCCATTCTCGCTGCCACAGTTTTTCTTGCAGAAGTGACAGCGACCTAGTGATTCCAAGTAAGAGTGTAGTCTCCAAAGGGAGGATGATTGCGGGGAGGTGCTGCGGTCTTGCGAGGCCCCAGTCACCGGACGTGGTCTTCCACTAGAACGCTTGGGTAAATGCTCAAAAAATCCCGCAACACGTTCTTCAAAGTCACCATAATCAAATGGTTTAATGCGGAGTAGTCGGAAGTCGGATCCTTTTCCTTGGAGCTCATCTGACAAGCCAAAAGTAACGTATTCGGCCAATTCAAATTCGCCAAAAGCGTCTTCATCATCAAAGTTTAGCATCAATCGTAAGGTACGTGCTTGTGTGCTGAATTCTAGAAAGCTTTGAGACTCTTGCATCTTGAGTTGTCGGATGCTCCTCTTGATACCCTTACGCCAGTCGGGCGGAAGGGCAAAGGTCATGAGCCGATTTTTAAAGTCAGTCCACGGTTTGCCTGTGTATTTGGTTGCTTCGTTGGCGTAGAATGATAGTAGATTGGTTTTGTCCAAGAGGCCACCAACTAATCTAATCTTATCGTCGGCGTTGTGAGAACTCCTTTGGGATGGATGGCAGTCCTGTGAGGGGGAAATAGCAGTTATGATATTTCAGGTATGTATGAATTTATTACAACTGTTACGGGTGGTTTGAAAGACCTGCCCCTCTAATGTACTACACTAGAATTCTGACAACAATTTTATTTTATTGTTGTGGCAAAAAAACTGATGATGGAGAAAACTATATGTAGTAGTCTCTTATCAAACCTAGATCAACGTGGAATCAGCTGAGACTTAGTGGAATTTTGAGTGGAAAGAATTTGGTGTGGGTTACCGCAGGCTGGAATCAGATAATGGAAAGAGTTGAAAAGCTGGGAGATATTTTTTGTATGTTTTTATATGTTTATATGAGTGAAGTAAAGTAAATGTTGATATGGAAAAGACTGAGAGGAAACTGATGATAAATATGAACTATTCAAAGTGTCTTTGCCCTCCTCCTTAATCTTCAGTTAAGAGAACAAATGGGTTAAGATCACTTTGACTTGTTAAGAGCACAAGGGGTGATACTTGCTACTTGAATTCTTCTATGCTTCCTGAGGTATGAAAGATGTTGATGGGCCACCTGATTGAGATCACACTGTTGGATTTTACCTTAATTTGACTTGAAGATTCTGGGTGAGATGTGTAGCTTGGTAGATGTGCCGGATTGGCATGAGGAACTGATCTGAGGAGGGAGAAATGACCTCCTTATATAGTAAATTGTGAGGGATTTTAGCTAGTGAGGATGTCCTGTGAGGGATTTATGCTGGTGTGACTTCTTCTTTGAGGGATTTTTGCTGCTTGGAAACTTCTATTGAGCCATTTTTGCTGGTGTGTCATGTGATCTGCACTGCCCCATACAGAAAATCACACGTGTTGCGGAATGTTCTTTCTATGTTGAGGCATTTTTGCTGGTCTGTTGTGACCTACGTAAGATCCAAGCGTGTGGCTGGTGATGTCATGTGAAAACTCCTATTGTCCAAGCATGTGATCATGCATGTGA